ATGGAGCAATGGTGGGAAGGTAGGAAGAGCATATGTTATTCCAAAGGAGAAAAATATAGATAGTTGAAGACCAATCTCACCTGCTTCTGGCGACCCGACAAGACTGGCTAGTTCCAGACTAGGACAGACGATCAGATTTATGATGTTTGCTATTCGGGATTACTTACACTTCGACCTACGATCTACCGATGATCTGGTGATGAGGTGTAGGAACATTGAGAGAGAATTGGAAACCGATTGCGCATTTGCCCTCGCCCGTAGCTACGATGTCGAAGACATGTTTACTCGGCTTACTCACCAGAGCGTCATTGACTCAATACTATGGATAATAGATTATCATCGTAGCAAGGTGTTGGTGGGTGTGAGAGTGAGTAAGAGGGGTAATATATGCATGATGACCCGAAACAAGAAAAATACCGAAGGGTTTGTGTTGTTGGATTTCGAAATGATTATAAGGGCCCTTGAATACGAGTTGGATAGCGCATTCACCATTTGCGTTGGTGAAATCCTGAAACAGGTTTTTGGGATCCCTATGGGATGAAACTCCAGCCCATCTCTTGCCCGTTTAGTGTGCGCCAGATCTGAAGCCTCCTCCTTGACCTCACTGGGGCAAGATTCAAAATTGGTAAAAGGGATGCGGATGATCAGCGATGTAACAATCATTGTAGGACTGAGTAAAACTAATGAGGATGCTGAAATTCGAGCCTCTCGGATATTTATCAAATTTGAAACATGTTATGATGATTCTCTGAAGTTGGTAAGGAGAGACACACGTTTCAACTCACTGAAATTTCTAGGGATACGGGTGATTCTAGACGTCGATCCTTTACACTTTCATGTGTTTCCAAAATCTAGAAATTAGAGATCCCTGGTTGACATTGGCAGATGTAGAATTCACTCTATGCAGGACTACCAATCCTTTTCGAAGAAGTCAACCAAGAAGGCCACGCTAACTGCAGAGATGATGAGAGCACTCAAATTATCCACCTCCGAAGATTCGACCGAGGCATGTATTACTGCTATCATGTTTGAAGCGAACCTCCGAGGATACCCCCCGTAGGTCTCTCTCGGTGTTCTGGCAAGGTTTGCCAAACTATCCGGGAGTCACTGGAGAGCTAGGCTCTCCGGTATGTACCCCGGATTATGCAGATTCCTAGACAGACCATGAACCACTGTACACTATTAGGGGTAAATTATCTGCCCGCGCGGCAGTTCGATTAGTTTTATTTGATGTGATTTTTCGCATAAACAAAGAGTCCCGGTTACGATATTTTAAATAGTTTTATTTCTTGATTGAAGAGTTCCCGCTACGACATCTTAAGTGTTTGTCTTTTGCTACAACAGTTTTTGAGGACCGGAAAAAAGAGATTTGACGTACACTTTTTGGAAAAAATAGCGATAGGCTAGTCCCTGAAACCAATAGCATAAATACCGACACATACGGATCTCTGGAGTAGCTTTAGGACCGGGAAAAAAAAACAGTCGATCCGCTGTAGTATTTCGCCGAAGAATATAGTGAACATGGATAGACAAATCATGAGCAAGATACGATAGATATGAGATGAATAGGTTAGCCGGAAAACGAGGTCCATTTATAGGTTCTGCAAAGGAGCGCAAAAAAGAGACCACCATAGAAGGAAACAAGAATAGTTCGCAGTCCGTCAGGGATGCGTTTACCCCCCCTGAGACATTGAGACATAAAGCATTTTTCGTCGTCGTCACCCAACGGTGCGGTAATTGGAAGGGTGGTGTATTTGCTGAGGGTCCAATTCGTGGGAAATAGGCAATTCAAGGAAGTGCAGGACCGGTAGCTGCTTGTGGCATTAGGGCCTTGAAATTTCGAATCTGAAACGGCGTGGACGCAGGCCCTGTGGTGAGTTAGGGCGGGTTTTTAGGGGGGGCGCCGACTGGAAGGCGCAGGCGGGTCCAATCTTGCAATTTTTGAACGCCAACTTTGGCGATTTTTCGTACGCAAAATACTTGGAGAAAAGATCTGAAAATTTGATATGGGGGTAGACCAAGTCGTGATCTTTCCAGAAAAAATATCAACAAAATAAAATAAAATCGTTTAGACTATGAAATAAATGCCGCGCCAATTTGTCACTTTTTTTATTTTTGGCACACGACAACTTGTGGGCCAACGGGAAAAGTACCCCTATTTCAAAGCTTTTTCACACTCAGAAGAACTCGTAAACAAGTCTGAAAATTTGAGGGTCCGTAGATTTTGTCATGATCTTTTCAGGAAAAAGGGAGATCGAGGCGTTTTGACAAAGTGGCGCCGCGCCTGATTTTT